CTCCAGGGAAGGCAAATAATCAAGATTTTGCTTAAAGTGGCAACACCATAATCCCCAAGGGTGGGAAGCTCATTCTTTGTCTGCAGGATGTCTGGAGTGATAAGTAGCTGTTTTATTAAAACTCATGCGGCGCTTCTTTGTCCTGACAAAATTATCATTTGCTGTTTGGTATGGTGTGTTTAAATGCAAGGCACCCTGAAATTTAAGGCATAAAATGAAGCAATGGGATGGAGGTGAGAGAAGTTACTTTGTGCTGTGTAAGCAAAAAAAAACCTCTATAAAGTTGTAACTTTGAATTTTCACTTGAAGTGGTTTTATGCCACAGTGGGACCTTTCCTTTGGTCTGACTGGTGCAGTTGACAGTATGTCAGTCAAATGGGAAATATGAGTTCTTTTGCATAACACAGGCCAGCTTGAAACTTCTCATATACCACATCGTATCTGATATGTGTTCACTGAGTGAGTAACACTGCTGCTAATTCCTTTATGAATGTTTCTTTGTAATATGTTATCGCAAGTTAGAGCTGTGTACTAATTTAGGCTGGCACAAGCCAGTGCTCTCTAATAGACATGCAGTAGCAAATACCTCATTTGTACTTCCCATAGATAACATGCAAATCTGGATCTCCTAAGTCTTTTATTCTTAATTTGCTAAATGAAACTTTCATTCATGGTGTATACTACCAAAAATTAGGCTGACTCTGATGCAGTCTGAGTATGCTCATGATTATATCCGTCTTGACGTAGCTACTTATGCTAGGAATAACGTATGTCTGTACCTTAATGAATTGGGGCTTCCTCAAACAAACAAGATGTGCCCAAGATTTAACATAGTAATTTCTTGTAGCTCTTCCCAAACTCTTTTTCTGATTTGCTCATATTCAAATCTACTGTTAGCCAAGTCCTTCCGGAAAAGCCTGTTTCTGCATGGGTTTCTGGTAAATATACTCTTGTGTGCTAGAAATAACTTTGCTTTTGCTCTACAGGGTGTAAATTTGTTGCTTTGCAGAATTCTGTAAATCTTCACCCTGATAAAGGAAGACTATGAGAGTAGTTAAAGTAGAAAAGCAGACTACATTGATCAGGACTGCTGCTTTACAAAAGCTGTTGCTACCTTCTAGTTGTTTGCATGCCTGAAATCCAATTTTCTTGTTCTCTTTCCCAGAGGAAAAACTGCAGTTGTGACAGGAGTGTTCATGAAGCTCCTCTGAAAAGCAAAGCATCTGGGTCAAAATTATCCAAGCAGTGGGGAATTTCTGCAATCATTAATTGTATTTATACTTTAGCTATGTCACATACAAACCTCCCTAAAACTTTGGGTTTTTTTTTAAACTTCTGACAAATGTATCTCTACTGCAGCCATCACCTCTGTTTTCAGAAGCTGTGCATTGGTCAACCCTTATCAGTGTTAAAATTCTCATAATTTATTTCTACACTAACTGCCTCATAAAATTCTGGCTTAAGCATGCCTGAGGTTTTTTAACACTGCATTTTGAGATTTTAGGGGATTTCAATCTTAGTTGTTATAAACTGTACTGCATGGCCTTTTTACTGCAGTAAGTGAAGCCTGGAGCAGCAAGTAAGGAGAAAAGAACTGGAAATGGAATCTCTGAGGAGGAAGGAGCAACCAGATTTTGAAGAATGATGTTCAGGCCTGTTGCAGTGTTCATTAATGTTCACTCCATCCAGTTACCACAGCAGAAATAGAACTGGAACGCATGTTCTGGGGTAGGATGGTACCTTTTTCATCAGCAGCATGCCTGGGACTTGCTGTATGCTCCAGGGAAAGTGTGGGATCACCTTATAGCCAAAATCAGGTGGGAAATAGGGAACAGCAAGCTAATGTGTCATGGGAATGGGATGCCCTGAGAGGATGCGACATCTCCATCCTTGAAGATTGTCAAGGTTTGGCTAGTCCATGATCGTGTCACCAAACAGGACCTGATCTTGTGTTGGTGATGATCCTGCTCTAAATGGGATCTGGATGACCTGTGTAGGACTGGATGACCTGTGTAGGTCACATCCAGCCATTGCTTCTGTGGTTCTCAGTGCTTGAAGATCTATTACATCAGGTTTAGTAATTCCACCCTTTGGCATTAATTGCTTTCCTGGCAGTTTGCTTTGCTTAGTCTGCATAACCGCTTGTGAGTAATAGATTTCAGTGCTTCCAATATCCCATAGGTGGGGCTTTTTTATCAACACCATGCTGACCTTTTCTTCCTCAAGCTACTTTTCTGTTTGTATGCTTACTGCATGTAAAATCTATATAGACAGCACAGCTGCAGTCATCTAATAACAGCAACAAGTTCCTCTTTTTTTCTCTGTGTTGCTGTATCTACTCGTGAGACCTCTTTGCTCCTAATGATGAAAGTGGGAAGAAGCAGCTGGTGGCTTCCTGCATGTAAAGATAAGAGTTGTGTCTGTGGGTCACACATTGCTCAGAAACAGAGAAGTAAGTGGACAGAGTACTATGTGTATGGAGTCCATATTGTGCCCTGTGCCCCCAGGCTGTTCTAGATCAACTGAAGAAGCATGATGCTTTCTGAAAATCAGTGCCAAGGTGCTTTAGCTGTGGCCTGGCTCAGCTTCTGTAAAGGTAAGGTACTGCACTGAGCCAGCAGGTGTGTTCTGACTTTGAATCCTAGTGCAGGAGCCAGAAGTGGTCTGGAGTGAGGCTGCTGTGTTGTCCTCACCCACACTTCTCTATAGCTTTGCCAGTACACGTTATAAACAGTTTTGGAGACTTCAGTAAAGAAGCTTCTGTTTTTTGCCACTGGTGAAGAAATAAAAATACTTTTACAAGTTAGTGTAGCAGAGTGCTTTGCTGCTCATTGGTAGCAGAGCAGCTAGGATTATGTCTGGCAGATAAAGACCCGCTATGGAGTATTTTTATACTGTCCCCATGTAGCATTTCTGGCTTCTCCATGCTCTTGAGGGTTACTAAGTCACTCACTGGCCTTTTTAGCAGAATGTATTTTGTTGCTTGTTTTGAAAAAGCCTGGAAGACAACTTTCTTCATCGGGTTTACTGTTGCCAGATGAATGGAATGTTTTTCGATAGAGTGTGTCAACTGCAAATATCCATAGGTTGGTTGCTGAAAGCAAAATTTCAGCATATTTGAAAACCTGGCAGAAAGAATAAATAAAACCTCCTGCCATGGTGTTCAGAGGACCGTGGCAAATTGGCAGACAAATTTGAGGTTTGTTAGAGATTGCTCTGCATGTGTGTGTTAATGTATACATCTGATTAAGGTCCAAGTAGTTTCTCAGCAGTCCAAATGACATGCAGTTGGCGTTTAGTTGTTGACTGTGTTCACCTTATAATCTCTCTGTGAATCCAGAGCCTGTATCATGAGCATAATCATGTAAAGTAAGCTTTTAGCCAAGTGTCATTTCAATCTGAAAGGTTGGATAAAGATTATTTAACATGTTGTAAAATCACTTTCTTTGTACAGAAAAAAATGAGGTATAAACACAAGCAAACTCGGACTTCGGAACTGTCGACTTTTATAAAAATACCAATATATGCCTCTGAGAACGTATTAGAAATACCCATATTGCGTCTGTTTGATCTGCCACCTTGAAACTCGTTTTGAGAGCTGGATTTGGGAGTGGGGTTTTTCAAGATGTTGGTAGATCTATGCCAGTATTTTTTGCCCTTTTGCATCTAACAGCTTTGAGGTCATACAGAGCTGTTTAGAGACTGTGCCCATAGTCACTCTTGCTGGTTTCTGTGTAGAGGAAACAATTTGTAAACAGTTGGACAGTTTGTTTCTCTAATGTGGTAAATGTGTGAGCTTTGATCCACTGTTGAGAAGTCAAGGTAGCTTTTGCCCTGGTGAAGTTCAGACGTACTTCTGAGGGTGACCAGCCTTGCTCTGTGGTCAATGTCAGACTCTGAAGCATGTTGCTGTTTAGGCAAGGGGAGATATGCAGAGAGAAATGGACTGGGGCGAGGAGAGCTAAGAAATGCTTTTAAATGAAGGGGAGGAAGGGTTGAGGGATCTTGTGGATGGTGATGCCAACGGAGCGAGCAGTGCCAGCAGTTCAGTGCTACTGCCTTGGCAGGTTTCTCTCTCTCTTGTTTCTGACCCAGGCAAGATGGCAAAGGATGTGCTGTCGGATGGTTTCTCTGTAAGCCTGAGAGCAGGAAAAAGCTGGAAATGTGCAGTGCAGCTTGACAGGTGTTTGGCTGTGCTCCCCAGTGATGCTGTAACAGGGACGGAGCCTGGTAGCTTGGGCATCCTGGTGCTGGGGTGGGAGGGGTGAAAATCTGAGTGGAGTAGTGGATTCGGGGGCAGGGAGAAAATAGCCTCGCTGAGCTTAGACCTCATGTTTTTATGATTAGGAGTCCATGATTTCTGACTTCCTTGTATTCTCACACCATTTAATGTACATTTTATCAGCCTACTGTATCAAACACCAGGGCTGTTCTTGTGAGCTGCGGGCAGACAAGGGCAAGCTTTGTGCGGTGGAGGTGGCGATACCCCAAGCACACCAGAGCAGAGCGAAGATGCTGAGGAGAGCTGGGCGGCGTTTCCCTGTCCGGATTGCACCGCTGCCAGCTGGGCATTTTCACAGCGTGCTGGGGGCCAACACAGAGGCAGCACCCGGAATAGCTGCCTGGTGTCGGGCTGAGGAGGAGCCGCGCTTCGAGCGGTTCTCGGAAAACCAGGGCGAAACCGCAGCCGCCGTTGTCACGGGGAGAGGCGGGCAGGGAGCAGAGGAGGGAGGGGGACGTGCTTCGGTGCCGCCCACGAGTGCGGGGACAAGAGCGGAGACGGCGGGATAACGGCGTGGGGCTGCGTCCGGCGCTTTGTCTGCCCGCACCGAGCAGGCCCGCGCATTAGCGGCTCTCCCCACACGCCCCGGGGCTGGCGGCTCTTTGTGTGGGGGCCTGGTCCCCTCCACGGGCGCAGCGGGGCGGCCGCGGCGCGGAGGGAGGCGAGGCGCGGAGTCGGCCGGTTGCCATGGAGAGGGGCGGTCACGTGGGGCGGTGGCTAGGGGCTGACGTGCGCGGCGGGGCGGGGCTCGGCGCGGCGCGGCGGGCGGTGAGTGTCGTGTACCGCCACCTTCCGCACACCAGCAGCGCGGGGCTCGGTGGAGGCAGCCGTGGGAGAGCCAATGCCTGGACCGACACAAGCCCTGTCCCCAAATGGCGAGAACAATAACGACATCATTCAGGATAACGGGACCACCATCATCCCCTTCAGGAAGCACACCGTGCGGGGGGAGCGCTCCTACAGGTACTGCGGCGGATGGCGGGGCGGTGGCGGGGGGGTGGGCTGCAGCGCCCGGGGGCGGTTGCATAAGGCGGGCGGGCTGCAGTTCCCTCATCTCCCCGGTCCCGCCGGAGCGGGGGAACGGGAGCTGGTATTGTCCGGATGGGAAGCGTTCGGTGAATAGGCGGGATGTCTGCGGGGCTCGCCGCTGCCGGCGGAAGAAAGGCGGGTTGGATAATAAAAAGCAAAAACAAAAGGGGAAAAAGGGAAGGGGGAGAAGAAAAACGGGAAGGAAGGGAAAGCGAGCCCCGCACAGGCAGCCAGCTCCCCCTGGAAAGAGCCGCAGCACCTCGCTGCGGATACCGGAGGCGGCGCCGTGCGGGAGGCGGTGGCCGGGGATGGCTGGGTGCGGGCAGCCCCTACCCGGCCCACAGAACGCACCGGGCGGCGGGCACTGCCCCAAAGGGCGGCTGCGTCCCTCCACCCCCAGCACACCGGCCCAAGGCTGACAGCGGCCCCCCGCTCATCGGGGCCGGACTGACAGCCCCCACCCACCTCACCCCCCCGGTGCTTGCGCGGGGGGGCGGCTCCATCCGTCCTCCTCCTCTCCCCATCCCCCGCCAACCCCATTTTGTATTTATTTATCGTTTCTCATTTGGGGGGGCACGTCCTTTGTCGCAGTTGTAGGCATTTTTGATGAATCGTTTGGCATGCGTTGCTGGCAGCGCTGCTGCGTTAACATCTCTGACAATATGCTCCGGCAGATAAGCTCATTAAAATTGTTTGCATTGTTTGATAAGGGTCGCGGCGCAGCCCGGAACGCAACTGGTTTGATGTGCTCCTTGCTGCCGACTCGATAAATACGGCCGGTAGCTCCCCTTATGTTAATATACAGTTATTTTAAATACTGTCCGAGTGACAGCAAGTGGTGCCTCTGCAGAGAACACGCCCCTTAAAGCTGTTTTTCGAACGGCAGGAAATGATGCTGCTCTTAAATATCTGAGTAAAGTGGCGAGTTGTATGCTCGATTAGATGAAAACAAATGCGGATGACTTGGCTTAATTGAAGAAAATCACAGTATTTCTTCTGCTGCTGAGGAATAACAGAGCTGGTGACCATTAATGACCTTAACAGTGAATCTTATTGTTGATCACACACTGACGGGAGACCTTGAAATGCATCAGAGACCCAAGCGTGTGGTTTGTTTCAGTACCACAAAATTTAGTCTGTCTCCCTCTCTGAACCTATTGATGCTTTGTGGAATGAAGCCCCGGATGCACGTGTTTACCACAAAGTAGTGAAATTGCTTTTGTAAAGACCTATTTCTGCTTGCAGAAAGACTGGAGCTCTGGCTTCCTATACTTACAATTCAGATGAGCGGTACAAGGTTCTGTTGTAGAGGAAAGCTATATTTTTATCATGCATATAAGCAGAAATATAAAATAGATTTTATATGAATTATCATGTATCTATTTTTAGTGTGACGTGTCAGGTGCTACTGATTGCTATCTCACTGCTCTCCTTCAGAAGGGTTCTTAGGAAAACCTCTGTTAGATGGGGTTCTCCCTTATCCTCTTGCAATAGGTTTGTATGTAATTTTCTGCAGCTATCAACAAGGCAGTCATCTTGTCCTTCTACCTGTCATACCATACATTGAATTATGTCTAGGGAAGAGATTCTGTGAGGCTGCTGTGTTAAACACATGATGACAGAAATAGTTATGTTACCCATTTTTCTAGAAACTCTGAAGTTATTCTGTGTGTGAATAGCCTTTCATCCAAGAGAGAACTCCTTAGTCTTAGCTTTGTATCCATTTGTATCTGTACCTGGAGCAATATAAAGGGATGCAGAACTACTAATGTTAATGTCACATGTTTTTGAGCAGTAAATAAATAATCCGATTCAGTATTTCAGAAATAGACCTTTAATTCACAAATAAAAATTTCAACTGAGGAATTATGTTCTCTTTGCCTTGTGGAAACCTATCTTGATCTACGAAGTCATAGCACCCATTTCTGTTTACTTCCCCCTTTCTTCGTGGGGGTGGATGATACTTGGTTTGTTTTCACCTGTAGCTGACTACTTTGTGAGATAAATATTAGCCACAACACAAAAGAAGCATTAAAGAAATATGTGAAAATTATGGTGAAATTTCTTCTTGACACTGGAAAAGAATGGGATTTTAACTGCCATGAAAACTTTTAGAAGCTAGACGAGTTTGGTTTTTGATTGGTTTGAGTTGCAGCAGAAGATCACTAAATATAACAGGTTAATACCATCAGTATTGTGCCAACTGCCACGTTGCACTGTTGATGCCAGGCTGACTTTGAAGCAAACTTATGAAGCAGCCCGTACAACTTCACTGTATGACACATCAGGTTGCTATGCCTCTGATTGTCAGGCTGGTTTGTTCCATCTGTATCTAGAAATATGGAATAAATAAGTCATTAAACACAGCCTGGAGCATGACACCAGATCGACAGTTGTACTGATCTAGAAGCACGTACTTTGCTCGCAACTGCAGCTTTGCTCTTAAGTTAAACTTCATCTGCTCTGTGTATAGAGGCTCAGTATTTACCTTTTGCTTCTCTCTCCTGTAATATCAGAAATGCTTTCTCATTTTAATACCTTTAACATACTCTGTTTCATAAATATTTTAAAACAGAAGTTGTTTGATCATAATGAATATGTGTTTACCAGTTTAAAGTTTACTGTTTCAAATACCAGCTCCTACCAAAGACTTGATATCCAGCTCCTGAAGCAGACTTAAAAAGAGCTGTTTACACCATTTTACAGACTAGGAAGCTGGCAATGGATGGCATTGCCCTAAGTCATCCTTTGAGTTTAGAATGCAGCAGGGAGTTGAACCTATACCATATGAGTCCCAGTTATGTGATCCGTATGCAAAGCCACAAATAGTTTTCCCAAGTCTTCCAAAGGACGTATTACATTTTGCAGACTGAGACATACAGGCCCGAGGTGTTAAGTTTCTCATCCAGCTTTACTTAGCTGGTAAATGGAAACCAGGCACTTTGGCATAAAATTTAGTCACAAGTAGATGTTACCTTTCGGAGTAAACAACTGTAATCAATCTGTATTTCTCCAGTGAAATGCTGTTTCAGGCTTTCTGGATCAGGAGGCTGACTTTAAAATCTGTTTGGAACTAAGGTGTCATTTTTTTGGCCCAAAATAGATTTGGGCTCACTTCTGAGAACAGGATTACATTTAATTATAGTTTTACTTCTATGTTCAAAGAAGGCTGAAAAAATGCGATGAGAAACTGAATCAACAGCTGTGTGGGGAATTTTTTTGAACAGGGCATGTCTGCAGTGCTTTTTTGCCAGACTCCAGGCATCTTGTGTGGTTGTTCAGCTCATCAGATTTTTAAAAGCAAGTTGGACAATGAGTTTGAATATCTCCAGGTTTGAATAGCATACCTAGCCTAAACTATTCTGGTCTAAAAGGGGGAAAACTGTTGTACCCTCCTTTGAAGGATACCATGTCTAACTTCTGTTTTATCTACATGCTGCTAGAAAAATGGTTATGTGGCTATGTTTAGTTTTATACCCCCCAATTTCATAAAGGAAGGGGAAAGGGGACTATCTTCCTGATTATTTCTTTTCAAATCATTAAGCTTAAAAGAAACTCAAAAAACCCACCAAACCTTCCTTCCTATGAGTAGATACCTCTCTGATGGTATCTGTTTTAGATATTTGTTTTCCCTAAATGTCATCTTCCTCTTAGAGAATGCCTTCCTCTTATGCTGTGTGTAATAATGAAAGCATGACAGAAGGGGCAATTTCCTCACCCACTGCTGAAATAAACCATGGGGTGTTACAGAATGTATCTGGCTGTCTTTTACTGCGGTATGAGCTGGTAACTTCCACAATGAAAGTAGAGATTTACATTACAGCAAAATCTGTTTCGGTCCTTGCCTTCCCAACTCCCAGTGAATTGCCGGATGCAAGCTGGTCCCGTGTGGCAAAGAGCATCCTTCCCTCCGCAGGGTGTGTCCCTGCCATCATCTCTGGTGGTGCTCTGCCTTTCACACTTGTGCAGCTTTACTTGGGATACAAAGGGAGACTCATGGCTTTAACTTACTTTGAGTAGAAGGCATTTCTTGCTCTAAAATTAGGTTCCATTTAGTATAGTAAGCAGGTAATTTCAATGAAGTAAATAAAGACTATTTGTATTGATAAAACTAAAGGCTTAAACTTGCTGAGAGCTGGGAAGATTATACAGAGTAAAAGCAGTGAGTTGTCTTATCATCCACAGGGCAGATGGGCACAAATGTTTTCATCCTCTGAAACTGTAAATGCTAGTCACAGCCAATGCTATTAAATATATTAGTAACTGAATTATTTTCAGGGGTGTTTTCTCTTGGCCTAAGGACTCCTATTGCATATTATGAGAATTTTGTCCTAGGTTTCACTGGAAGCAGGAGAAAGGCAATAATAAATTATTGGTCTTTTTTTTTTTTAATGAAAAAGCAGCATAAATCACACCCTAAAAATCTGGTTTGAGCTTTTCTAAAAGTGGTGCTTGATATTCCCCTTGCCTGTCGAGTCTGGGTTACAACAAGATAGTTACTTGCTATCCAAAAGAAGACCATCCTGATGACTTTTTAGCTAGCAGCTACTGACCAACGTAAGAGGCATCATGCAGAAATCTCTCTGGTTCCTGTGGGCTTAGGTGCACTCTATTTTCCTTCTTTCACTTTCATAAAGCTGGCTTCCTGTTGCTGCTGCTGCTCCTCTTTAATCTTGTTTTCTGATTAGGGAGTACTTTGCCTAAGGAGAACTGTTTTGGTGTCTTCTGCTGAGCAGAAGCTCCCCAAAAGCACAGGGTGAAACTGTCTGAAGATAACTGGGAATCACATGTGAATGCATGCAAATATATTGGAGGGTTAGGAGGATGACTCTGCTCAATACTGTGTAGTTTGAAACCTAGAGAGTCTGCCTGCATTACTGGGCTATTTCTCTTGACCTGGATTTAGATCTTCCTTGAAGGAGATCTTCACAATG